TTTCTAGTAGAAGACTCTGTTTCACTGTTGCATACCCAGCATCTTGAGCAGTGGCTGGCACAAAGTAGACTCTCAGAAAATATTAGTCCAATGAATGAAGGTAATTAGTGGTAATAAGAAGAGCTACCTCTTAGGTAGAAAAGTAAGAAGAAAGCAAATGAGATAAGTACTTTGTACATGTTAATGAACAATAACTGTACGTTATTCACATTCATATCCTATACCCTTGTGGATCTGTTGGAAATAATTTTTAATCATGAACTGCAAGAAGGGAAGGAGAATTTCTAGTTAAGAGGGACGGTGTAGAAGTATATGGTTTTGCATACCAGCCTCAGGCAAGGTAAAGACAGTTGCTGGAAACACTTAGAGTTTGGCTCAGGTAACCAGCTAGCACCCTGCCCTGGAAGGTGAGGAGAAGAGATGGGTGTGGGAGGCTGCTGGGACTTGTGTGAATGGATCTGTTGGGTCTGCACACAATCTTCAGATGACTCAGGGTGAGACCTCCAGACTGCAGGCTGCCATGTCTGAGGCCCACCTTGAGCATCCCTAGTAGCATGCAGCTTCCCGGGCAAGAGGCAGGGCTTCCGGGATCTGTGTGTCCCCAGGACTGAATGTGCACACTCTAAAGTAACAATCTAAGTCAGGGAAAGGGACTGCTGCATATGTTCACACCCTCTTTAATAGGATGCTTTGCCTCCAAAGTGCAGATTGTCATAGCAAGTAACAACCCCAGGATCTCCATTAGGCTCCCTGGTGTCACACACAACAGTGTACAACGTTTTTGCTTACATTCCCAGGATAATGATCATTTACAAAATATCTTAAGGTGAAAATGTAATTTTTTAAAAGGCAATCTAATTCTTGAAACTATAAAGAACACACAATTCTCCAAAACCTTCCTATCCAGATACAGTTATTTGATTAGCTGGTATAGACAAAGTTGATGAATAAAATTCTTTTGTAAATCATATCACCTTTGGATTTTATAACACAAAGTTGATTTCCATGGATTTTCCCTAAACTTCACTGAGTGACTTCCTATTCTTCTATTAAACAGACCTGGGAAGAGAAGCAAAGAAGCTATGCTACCACTCCTTCTAATGGCATGGGAAGATGCAGAGGGAGGTACTGTGTCCTGCATGCATGTGGATGACGTCAGATAATCCTTCTAAACCTCTAGTTTCAAATAGGGTGCAGAGGTATCTCTATACCACATGCCTCACCATTTCTCCACAACTTGGTTTCCCACACAGAGTTTGAACTTTGCATGCTAACTCAGTGCGGATGTAGCCAAGGATCTCTGAGCTCATCTTGTTTAGAGTGGAGACCTTGGAGTCTCTATACTGGAGTGCAGGTTATTCCAGAGCATAGGTATGCATAGATATGCATGTATGTGTAAATACGTACATATGCCATATATGCATATATTATGAGAGAACAAATAAATAGAAGATGATAGATCATGAAAGGAAAGAAGCAAGCAAAGTCATGAGAAGGGAGTGGGAAGGAATCAGCAGGTGTTAATTCCTAGGATGACCCAGACACCCAGCAAAGAAGGCAGTATGGGGGACAGAACAGGGCTATGCAATTATCTGGATGTTAAAGAACGAACTTGTAAAGTTCTCCTTCCTTGAAGGAGAATGCTGTGAAACAAACCCGGCAGCCCATCAGGGAGCATTTGTCAAGGCATTCAGAGGGAGAACAGAGGCTGGAGGGCACTGATTTGGGCTTTGTCTCCCCTAGGTGCTGGGCTGCTATCTTGCCATGAGTCGAGTTATCTCTGAAGTTCTGCTGAGCGGTCTCGATAGCATGACTTAAAAGTACAAGTCCCTACAGGATTCAGCTTCCCAGCATACAAATGCTCAGAGAATGAGAAGAGTCCAGGAAAAACCAACCCTTTAAGCCCTAGAGGATGCTAACAGTCTTCAAAATGATGAGGATCCTAGAAGACTATGCATTGGAGGTTCTTGGATTTGGTGTCTTTTTAAAATTTTTTTTTCTTTTGGTTGATTTCCTTTATTTTACTTAGGAGCCCTCCAAATTTCTGTAAATGCATTTTGTGGTTGCTCTGAACCATCTGAGGTGAGGGGCAGGGAGGAAGAGTGGCCTGGTAGAGTCCCTGAGTGGATATAAGCAGAATCAGGACCAACTGAGCTTGGGACGTGACAGATAGCAATGAGAAGAACCACTAGGGAGAGCTTGAAAGCAAGCCCTCGGGAACTCCTGGTTAGGAAATCCTGACGGATTACAGGTTTCTCTTGGATGTCCCTTTGCTTTCTCTACATCCCAAGTTTCAGCGTCATTTTTCAATCAGAGCAGCTTCTCTGCCTTCATTTGCATCTGGGGAAT